AAACCTCTTCTTCATGTAGGCCAGATTACCTGCACTAACTTGAATCTATTATGTGTCATAATTTAGGGCCTTTCTAATGGAATTAAACCTCTGTCTTATGCTTTACAATTAGAAATATTTATCTATTAGAATATGTCAGCTAGAAGACTCTAATAAAACTCTAGTTTGCATTTTGAACCTTCAGATGTATTGATGTTATTTTATAGGAATATTTTCACATTGATCTTGGTAGGTATAAATTGCTAGCAAAAAACTATGTAAACTAGAAAAGAAGGATGTTATTATATACTAAGGTTACACCAGTCCTGAGATACATAACCTTTAGATTCGCCTAAGATCCCAACCGGAGGGCATGGATCAATTATGTACATGCTGCTTCATAAATGGAGTCCTTTGGACATGTAATATTGTTAAGAAAACTGGAAGTTTAATAAAAAAAATTATTTGATTTATGCCCTCCTTCCCTAGAACTCACCCCAGATAAACAGTTACTACCACCAGGAGCACTAATGCTGCTTTGCACAAATAATTCCTTAAACAAGCACACAAAAGGCATGAAGATTTGTTACGAACAGTTTTCATCTGAGCATCTAGGGATTATTACCTCCCACACATTTTCTTTAAACATGGTTAGACTTACTTAGTTTAATGAGTTTGGGGATTGTTGCTTTTTCTCCTTTGACTTGCCAGATACATCAGAAATATTTATTTTGAGAGACAGTTTAAGGAACTCCATAATTCCCAATCTGTTAAAAAGTTTTAAGTAAATCTGAGTTGAATGCCTGTCATTGTTTCCAATCTGGTCAAGCAAAAAGAAAAAAAGGCATACAGTTCATCAGAATAATTAGTTGATTGAGGTTAAATAATTCTAGGAATAAACATTTGACCCCCTGGCACATCATAAACCTCCTGGAGTGAGAAGGATTATAAATTAAATGTCCAAGATTTAAAATCATCCAGATACACCCTGAACATTATTGCAGGCATGTGGGACACATTTAGATAAGTTAAAACCAAGTGTGGGTTTCAAGTTTAGCCATCTTTGATCAGCGGTCTACTAAAGCTTTATTGCTTTGGTGTGAGCAGTGGAGAGGAATCGTGGCAACAGTGCCCCCTGCTGCTCGATGGCCACCTCCCTTCCCCGAAACAAGTTTCAGGGATTTTTAGACACATGGGTACCCCAGGAGATCATGACACTCTGGTAAGCATAAGGAATTCAGGAAGGGGGAAAAACAACAACTAACATTCATTGAGGGCCTGGATTGCTGCAAGCACTGTTATTTAATTTAACGATAATATGAAGTTTATTACAAATTCAGGAAAGAATAGAATGAAATCTATAGATAAAGAAACTGAAGTTCAAGAAAGTTAGATGACATTTACAGGATTATCACCAGACATGGAATGAGCCAGGATTTGGACCCAGGTGTGCCTGGCTCCCAAGCCAGTGATTCTTATGGTGCAGGAAGATAGCAGTGGCTGGAGGCCTTGGGCACAGCTGAGACTCTTAAAAGTATCGTGACCAACCATCCTGATTTGCCTGGGACTGAGACAGTTCTGGGGACACTGGACTTTCAGTGCTATGAATGGGAAAGTTGGGAGCAACCTGGGATGCACTGGCTGCTAGACTTCCACCGAATAAAGCACCAGGCTACAAGGGTCTGTTTGGGAAGGGAGGAAGGCCGCCCAGTTGTCCGTCCATCCTGTTCCCCTCTGTGGCCCAGATTACTGTGCCATAGGTGTGCAGCGTCTGTCCTATTGTATGCTGTGACACATCCTGGGGCATTGTCAAAGAAGTTCACATTTCTGCCAGTTATGATTTCTTCAGTTCCCATCCTAAATCCTCAGTCAGCTGGAATTTAGCTCACTGAATAAATCATTCACTCAAGTGGAAGGGAAAGAGCAGAGACTGGGGCATCACAGAAACGGAAGAGTTCCGTGAGCATTAGCGAGGGCCCGAAAAAGCGGGTGAGTAACAGAACTGGCATTCATGGGATGCTTACTAATGCACAGGGCACCAGGCCAGGTATTTTGTGTGCATCATCTCTGCTTTTGACGACTCTAAAGGTAGCCATAATTAACCCTAATTACGGATTTTTAAAAGGAATAAACAAATGAAGCTCAGAAAGAGACTAAATAACTTGGCTAAGGTCATCCAACTAGAAAAAAGGGTGAAAAAATCTGGTACAGAAGGTTCCTAAATTGTTTCCTTCAACTTGTACACTTTCTTGAGCAGTATTTTAATGGTACAGAACAAGTATCTCCTATGAATAAGATAAATTAACTTAACCTGCTTTCATGAAGTGGCCAGTGACTCATGCTACATGTTGGCAAAACATCCAAGCTACACCTTTAGGAAATGGAGGCCGAAGTAAGTGGTACCTGCCATTATTACTCTAGCCTTCCTTACTCCTTATTTTCTCCAAGCCCTATTTTTGATAGAGTTCAGCGTTTCCCAAAATATGCTCCACGGGAGACTATGGGCGTGAAATGTGAAGAGGTATCATACAAGAAAGGGGTTCTGGGAGCCAGTAAAATAAGGACAGCGCAAGTTAGCTAGTTAGGAGACATTTAAGTCCTCTACCCTGAAACTTCTCACTCTCTAATACGTCCATATGCCCTGTGAAGCTCCCAGATGAAGCTCTAGTGCTGTGTTCTCCACCTTTTTATTTATTCAATATTGGCCCTCCATCTCCAGAAGCCTTTTTAGACATTCCCCTAATCACTCCTTTCCATCCACCTGCCCCTCCCTCATATGAAATACTAAGGAATAAGATTTTGGTGAGTAGGTTGAATTTTGGGGGGCCACAAGCCATTGTATTAAGAGGTTTTTTTTCACCCCCCATGAACTAATTTTTGCCCCCTTCAGGATGATATCGCTTTACTTAAGAATGGAGGCTCTGGTATGAAATGCTTCTCAAATGTGTTTGACCAACCACTGCCCTCTTTCAAGTGGACTAGTATTCCCAGGAACACACTTTGGGAACCCCAATTTATTCAGCATGAGTCAGTTTAACACTTTGTTGTTTTCTTATGACTCAAGGAGAGAATCTCCTCTTTCATACTTAAATTCCTGATGTTAAAAGAGAAACCAAGACATATTAAAAGTTTAAGAGATTATTTGAGCAAAGGTCACTTCCAACTGGGCAGCACCAATGGGAAGCAGTGAGAAGGCTCCAGTGACAGGAATAAGGGGAGAGACTTTTATAAAGAAGATGCCAAGACAAACCAAAGAAATTATTTGATTGGCTTTTTGCTTTATATGGAAAAGCTTAGTTGGCCATTTGTGATTGGCTGTCCTTACTTTTCAATGTCTTAACATTTGCAGGATTACATTTTCGTTTCCTTACATCAACTGCTAAGCATTAAAGCCACCTTAGTCTCTTTGCCTTGTTTAATCACTTTAACACTGGTATAAGACTACAATAAGGAGGCACTTGGGTGGCTTAGTCATTTAAATGGCCAACTCTTTTTTTTTTCAATGTTTATGTATTTTTTTTTTAATGTTTATGTATTTTTGAGAGAGAGAGTCAAAGGGGTGCAGAGAGAAAGAGGGAGACAGAAAATCCCAAGCAAGCTCCACATTGTCAACACAGAGCCCAATGCAGGGCTCGAACTCACAAACCGCGAGATCATGACCTGAGCCGAAGTCGGACACTCAACAGACTGAGCCACCCAGGTGCCCCATAAGTGTCCAACTCTTAATTTCAGCTCAGGTCACGATCTCACAGTTTGTGAGTCTGAGCCTCACATTCCAGGTGATCCTGATGCAGTTGGTCTATGGATTACACTTCTGAGAAATATTAGCCTCCTTACAGGATAAATGTCAAAGTGCTGAAAACAGCATTAAAGCTTTCTCTAATTTGACCCAATTCTATTTTTCTAGAGTCAGTCCTTGCTAGTTTCCACCATGTTGAATCACTCACGTCTCTTCAGTAGTTCATGTATTTATGTTTCCCCTAACCTGGACTTACATTTCCATCTACTTTATGTGACAGACTCCTACTCATCCTTCAAGACCTAGCTACATGGTCATCTCCTCTGAGAAGTCTTCTCAACTTTATGAGATAGAATTTGTTGCTCCCTCATTGTTCATACAGAACTTTATTCAAACCCCTATCATAATACCACCCAATTCTGATTTTTAAATCTTCTTGCTTAGAAATAAGCAGGACTATACCTAGCTCCTCTGAGAAAGACAGGGAGAGAGAGCGAGAATCTTAAGCAGGTCTCAATCCCATGACCCTAGGATCATGACCTGAGCTGAAATCAAGAGTCCGACACTCAACAGACTGAGCCAACGAGGTGCCCCCATCTAGCTCCTAACCCTGCAGAAGGCCTAGCACACAGTGGGTGAATGAATGAGTGAATGCTAGTGATTTACACGTGGAGTCACTTAGTCCTCAATTCCCAGGCCAATGAGACTGCAGTCTCCCTAATGGAAGTGAGGGCTTCTGTCTCACTTTGGTGATCCCCAGAATTAGGCCAGGGATTCAGTAGTCAATGAAAAAATACCTAATGAATGAAAATAACGGAATCCCCAGCCCCCAACTTAGTGAGTACCTCCACGCTTCCTAAGCCCTCAATGCAACTCTTGGAGGACAAAGGAGTGGAGTGTGAGTGCTATGGGGGAGATGTCATCCCTATCTGCCAGATGAGAATGTTAGGCTAGAAGCCGCAGGGCTGGCTGGCCCCCAACACCAGGCTCCTGGTTCTCTCTGCTCATTCCCTCCATAGAACCATGTTGCCATGGAGATGACTATTCCCCTACGTGGGCACAATTAGGTGAGACCTCCAGAAAGGCCTTTCAGAAAGGCAACGGTACATGGCGACTCTTCGCCCCCTCGCCCAACTCCTTATCTATTTGCTCGCCTATTCCTGTGTTTACTCATGTCTGTACCTACTGATTTACTTTTTTAGCATTATTGTAGAGGACTAGGCAGCTGAGTTGGCAGAAGCCACCAGGGCATACAGAACCTTACCTGCAGCTCAAGGTGAGATCTAGGGACCACTGGCCATTGGCTAAGGAGGGCTGAGGGGCGGGGCTCCTGCCGTTACCAGAAGCCCATTGGGCTGAAGGTGTGAGGGAGGGGCGGAGGGCGGTCCTGGAAGACCTGCTGGGTGATGCTCTTCCAAAACCTCTGGGAGCCGGCCTCTCAGGCCTCCAGCTAACCCAGCCGGTAGGGGCTGCGCAGGCGCCTGTCGAGCGCGGGCAGAAGCCCGGTGGACACCGACCGTTGGGTTCTCGAGGGGCGAGGGGGCGGCGCGCGCGCGAGGGAAGCTCACGAAGCCTGCGCGCCTGGCCTTGGGCCCCCGAGAGGAAAGAGCTCTTGCCAAGGGAGGTGTGGGACTTGGGCAGGCGCAGTCATGCGTGACGCCGGCGGTTGCCGAGCCCCGCAGGCCAGAAGCTGGGGCCCGCTCCAGGGCAGGCTGTGGGCGGCGGCGGCGGCCGCGAAGGAGCAGAGCTACGAGTACGGCTCCGCGAGATACCTGCTGCTGTGCGGCCTCGGAGGCATGCTGAGCTGCGGGCTGACGCACACGGCCATCGTGCCCCTGGACCTGGTCAAGTGCCGCATGCAGGTGGACCCCGCCAAGTACAGGGGCATCGTCAGCGGCTTCAGCGTGACGCTGCGCGACGACGGGCTGCGCGGCCTGGCCCGAGGCTGGGCCCCGACCTTCCTGGGCTACTCCCTGCAGGGCCTGTTTAAGTTCGGCCTCTACGAGGTCTTCAAGATCCGCTACGCCGAGCTGCTGGGCGCGGAGAAGGCGTACCGGTGGAGAACCGGCCTGTACCTGGCGGCGTCGGCCAGCGCCGAGTTCTTCGCCGACGTGGCGCTGGCCCCCATGGAGGCGGTGAAGGTGCGCATCCAGACGCAGCCGGGCTTCGCGGGCACGCTGCGCGCCGCCGCGCCGCGCATGTACGGCGAGGAGGGCCTGCGGGCCTTCTACAAGGGCGTGGCGCCGCTGTGGCTGCGCCAGATCCCCTACACCATGATGAAGTTCGCCTGCTTCGAGCGCACGGTGGAGGCGCTCTACAAGCACGTCGTCCCCAAGCCCCAGAGCCAGTGCACCAAGGCCGAGCAGCTGGCCGTGACCTTCGTGGCCGGCTACATCGCCGGCGTCTTCTGCGCCGTCGTGTCGCACCCGGCCGATTCCGTCGTGTCCGTCTTGAACAAGGAGAAGGGCAGTTCGGCCTTGGGAGTTCTCCAGAGGCTGGGGTTCGCGGGCGTGTGGAAGGGCCTGATCGCGCGCATCATCATGATCGGCACCCTGACTGCGCTGCAGTGGTTCATCTATGACTCGGTCAAGGTCTATTTCAAGCTGCCGCGGCCCCCGGTCCCCCAAGGGCCCAAATCCCCGACGAAGCTGAAGTAGGCGTGGGCGTGTCGGCTCCAGTGGCCGATGTCCGCCCAGATTGCCATCCTGTGGGCGGCTGCGTCCAGGCAGTGCTAGCGTGGAAAATGTTCGGTTTTCTGGTTTGGGGGAGGGGACGATAGGTAGTCCGAGTTCTCTTTGGGCGATCCAAGAGGATTGCAGCCGTTTCATTTAGGGGTCCGGACCATTGTCTTTGGGGAGTCGGCATGGCTGCCTTAGCTCAGTAGCTTTGCAGCTATCGTAGGGAGAAAATTCTTAACGAGAACTAATGTTAGGTAATTTAGGATCCCTGGATTGTTTCTGCCTCGATCCACCGTTCGGTGGAGATTTCCTGAATAGCCTACTAATGAGGTTTTAAGGTCAGCACAAATTATGGGACAGGGAACAAAGTAAAATTCTGCTAAAAGGGTATTCACCTCAATAGAAATCGTGTACCTGTTGAGTAGATGATGGACTCATACCATATTTCCTGTTCATGTCCATTACAGGTAAAAATTATTAAAAGTCAAATTGTGACTTATATTGCCTGATAACTTAGAATGTATTCTCTGTTTTCAAAGAGACATGACATGAGAAGATCTGCATTTTCTCATTTTGCTTTGTCCAATTCTCTCCCTGATGTTGCTGATTAGAACAGAGCTCTCTCCAGGAAGTGCTACAATTGGATCAATGTGGAAAACCAAAATGAGATGAAGGGCAGTCTCTGAGAATAAATATGTAAAGAAAAGCCTCTGTTCTCTAAAAATTTCTTTTATACAACTCAGCTTTCAACAGCCATCCATCCAAAGAGGATCATACCACCCTGACATTTAAACACACACACATGAAACCCTGCAATTCCAATTTTTTGTTGAATATTAAAGAATGGTTTTGGTGACTTTGGAAGGAAAATCTCACTTTTAATGTCACAAGTGACATTCATTTAATTTGGTACATGTTTCCATGATCTTTACAATGGTTGAGGTTCATAAAATTTACTGAAATTATAAGGCACATTTTCAGTTTTCTGTAGCCTTCACATCTCTGCTTAAGGAAATTATAAATTAGTGAAATTCTGTGAATTAGAGATGTTTGTAGAATATGAGCAAGAAATAAACTTCAATGGGATATTTGCTCTAATTTCCCAGAATGTTACATGTTAGCCTTAACTTGTATTAAAGACTGCAAACTTAAAAGATGTTGATGTTTTAACTATGTAATAGCAAACTGTTCAGTGGTTAACAGAAGTTAAAAAGTGTCTAAATTTAAGTAAGTATATTTGAACTGTCTTGACTGAATAATAAAGAACTTGGAGGAAAAAATCAGAACTTGTGAATGAGCTAGAATGAAGTTTATATTTAGTGCCTCTATTTTGTTTATTATTGGGGAGGATGCATGGGAAGGATATTATGTATTTTTTTTTTTGTTTTTTTAAATGTTTATTCTTGAGAGAGGGAGAGAGAGCATAAGCAGAGGAGGGGCAGAGAGAGTGTGTGAGAGAGAGAGAGAGACAGAATCTGAAGCAGGCTCCAGGCTCTGAGCTGGCAGTACAGAGGCTGATGCCGGGCTGGAACCCACAAGCAGTGAGATGACCTGAGCTGAAGTTGGATGCTTAACTGACTGAACCACCCAGGTGCCCCCAGGATCCTATGTATTAAGACACTGACTTTCCTTAGGCAGTTGGCTTCTAGGTTTTTGAAAAGTTCTCAATGAAGGAGAATGATAAACAAATTTCAAAGGACTAACTTGTACAGATTCTTACTAGGAAAATTTTAATAGAGATATTTCTGTCTAGTGTTGCATTGTTGGAAGTTTCTTTGGTCAACAATTTATTAAGTTCTTTCTAGAAGTACTATGATTTAGGGATTTGCTGCAAAATCTTTGGAATTTCAAGATACCACTTGTTCTGCTCTGTGGTATTTCATGATTGCTCTGTTGAGAACACCAGATAATTTCTGTAATATACCACGAGAATTATAATCTAAGAAGAACTATTTGGCATGATTCTGACTATCATGAACATGGTCAAGGAAATGGGTTTACTTAGTGGAGGTCAGCAGTTTTCCTGTTCAGTTCCTAGATTTCTATTTTTCTCTTTTTATTGCTAGTTTATAAATGTCTGTCTGACTAAGTAGGGGCCAGAGTAGCTAACAGTAAAGAATAAAAATTAAGGTTAATAAAGGTTAATAAATAAAGTAAGGTTAATAAATAAAAGTTAATTAAGTAATGTAACGACTCTTGTACATTTAGAGTTACTGCAGATTTTTTTCCTAGTTACTTACTATTCCTTTGTTACAACTTAAACTTCTATTCAATGTTTTACTTTGTAATTGCCACTCAGTGAAATCATGCAAATCTGTTAGAATCAGAAAAGCCATAATGTATGTCTGGTATTGTGAGATATTTTATATGCATTTTCTCATAATCTCAATCCTTGAAGTAATGCATTTTATATATAAAGCAACAGACTTAGGGGCTGAGTACCTTTCTCGACATCATATTAGCTAGCAAGTGATACAGTCTGAATCAGAGCCCACATTTTCCTCATTACTCCAGCTCAGTGCCTTGACATAACCAGTCATTATTCTTTTCATAAACTGCTTTTTATAGTACCTCAAAAATATTTTTTAAATTTCTATTTGCAAAAAAAGATTTCTATATGTATATACCCTAAACCTTTCCTAATCTTGTACTAATGAAAAGTTTATAATGTATTTCAATTGGGGAAAACCTATGGCATAATTGCTTAGAAGTAATCAAGCTGCAAGATACTTACATATATTTAATTTAATATTTAAATCATTTTCCACACCAGGTCCTAACTTGAAGGGCCTGATGATATTAAAAACAGTGCTTCTTAATTTTTTTTTTAATTTGTGGTACTGCAGTTTCAAGGCTTTATTTTATCACATTTTCTAATTCTTTCCTCTGATCTTTAGTTCCTACACCTAAAAAAGCTGGCTTAGGCTATTTATCTTTTCCCCCAGCTGGTGATCAAAGTAGGTGTTTCAAATATATGAAATTAATTTCATGATAGGGAGCTGTAATCTCATCCATTGATCTATCCTTTGAGAAGTGAATAAAAGAGTAGGTAAAATCTTGAAAAACAAAGGCCATATTTACATGTTAAACCACACTGATAAAGATTGAAAAGAATCAAGGTATTAATGTTTCAAGTATTTGTCCTTGCTGTATAAATGTCTCTTTAGAAAGTATTTCTTTTGAGCCTTCAAAGGCAAAAATAATCACTGAAGCGAGAAGATCATATTTTGATAGGCAGCCATTCAATTATAGTATGCATGTTCAATGTCTTAAAGATCAATATTTAAAACATTTTTTTAATGTTTTATTTTCTTTTTTGAGAGACAAAGAAAGACAGAGCATGAGAAGGAGAGGGGCAGAGAGAGAGGGAGACACAGAATCCAAAGTAGGCTCCAGGTTCTGAACTGTCAGCACAGAAACCAATGCTGGGCTCGAACCCACGAATGGGAGATCATGACCTGAACCAAAGTCAGAATGCTCAACTGACTGAGCCTCCCAGGTGCCCCAAGATCAGTTTGTTTGTTTTTTTTTAATCGTGAGCAAAGAACTATTTGAAAGGGAATTAAATGTTAATATTATTTAGAAGGCTTTGTCTTGCTTTTCTGAATGCTGTATTTGGGTGGGTAGGTAGGGAGAACTCTAACAAGGTAATTATAACTAAGATGTGTGTGTATGTGTGTCCATTTTAGTTAACGTATTTTGAGACAGTGTTAGAGTATCCAAAATTTTTGAGGCAATTTGGTAATTCTGCCCATGCCCAGTCTGTTGATCAACATCTATCATATGCCAAGTGTTGTGCTAGGCAGAAGGGTTTCTGTGATGAGCATAATGCATGGTCCCTGCCCTCAAGGAGCTTACAGTCTAGTAGGAAAAGTAATTTACAGTCAGGCAAAGTGCTGCAAAGAAGTAGGGGGTGTTTTCCAGATGGCCAACAGACACATGAAACGATGCTCAGCATCACTCCTCATCAGGGAAATACAAATCAAAACCACACTGAGATACCACCTCACGCCAGTCAGAGTGGCTAAAATGAGCAAATCAGAGAACTCTAGATGCTGGCGAGGATGTGGAGAAACGGGCACCCTCCTACACTGTTGGTGGGAATGTAAACTGGTACAGCCCCTCTGGAAAACAGTGTGGAGGTTCCTCAGGAAACTAACAATAGAACTCCCTTATGACCCAGCAATAGCACTGCTAGGAATTTACCCAAGGGATACAGAAATGCTGAGGCATAGGAGCACATGTACCCCAATGTTCATAGCAGCACTCTCCACAATAGCTAAAACATGGAAAGAGCCTAAGTGTCCATCAACAGATGAATGGATCAAGAAGATGTGGTTTATCTATACCATGGAATACTACATGGCAATGAGAAACAATGAAATCTGGCCATGTGTAGCAACATGGATGGACCTTGAGGGTGTTATGCTGAGTGAAATAAGTCAGGCAGAGAAGGACAAATATCATATGTGTGCACGTATAGGAGGATTACGAGGAACTTGACGGAGGAACAAGGGGGAGAAGAAGGGGGGAAATGGTGGGGGAAAGGGAGAGAGGCAAACCATGAGAGACTCTTGAATGCTGACAAAAACTGAGGACTGATGGATGTGGGGGGGAGGGGGGATGGGCATGGAGGAGGGCACTTGTGGGGATGAGCACTGGGTGTTATGTGGAAACTAATTTGACAATAAACTATTTGTAAAAAAAAAAAAAGAAGAAGAAGTAGGGGGTGTTTGTAAGATTGTACATCTAAGTGATACCTGAAATGAGACCTAGAGGATAAGTAGGAGGTAGACTGGCAAGGAGAAGGTCCATAACAGTGGGCACACTATGTGCACCTGCCCTGAAGAAAGAGAAAGCCTGATGGTTTTGAGGAAGTGAGAGAAGTTCGTTTTGGGTGGAGCCTTTCAGTTGTAGAGGGGCTGGTATAAAATGAAGTAGGAAAGGTCAATAGGAAGAGGGTCACTCCAAGCTTTGTAGTTCTGGCTAAACATGTTGGGCTCCTTAGAGTGTTCCCTCAGCCATTGGAAAACCCATGAAGGACTGTAAGCATGGAATGACCTGCAGGTTGCTGTATGGAAAGAAATGGAGTGGAGTGAGAAGAGCTCAGTTAAAACGTTGCTATAATCCAGGCGAGAGAGACTTCATGGTAGCCTGGACTAGGATGATGACAGTGGGGACACTAAAGAACCATGAGGAGCCAAAAGGTGGAAATAACCCAAATGTCCATGAAAGGATAAATGGATGGATAAATTGGGCTATAAACATACAATGAGATATTATTCAACCATAAAAAGGAACAAAGGACTGACAGGAGCTACAAGTTGGATGAACCTCAAAGACCTTATGCTAAGTGAAAAATGCCAGACACAGAAGTCACATATTGTATGATTCACTTTTTTATATTACATCAAAATAGGCAAATTCATAGAGGTAGTAAGAGACTAGTGGTTACCAGGGGATGGAGTGAAGGGAATGGGAAGAGATTATTTAATGGATATGGAGTATCGTTCTTGGTTTTAAAAGCACGGAGAGGTGGTGGTTGAATAACCCTGTGAATACACTAAATGACACTTAATTGTCCACTTTAAGATGGTTAATTGAATGTTAGGTGTGTTAAATTAATTCCACCTCGATAAAGATATCATGAGATGCTTTATTCATATTAGCCCCAAAGTGGAAACAACCCAAATGTCCATCAACTGATGAATGGATAAAGAATGTCATATATTCATATGATGGAATGTTTTCTTTTTTTATTTAAAAAAATGTTAATGTTCAATTATTTTTGAGAGAGACATAGCACAAACAGGGGAGGGTCAGAGAGAGAGGGAGACACAGAATCCAAAGCAGGCTTCAGGCTCCATGCTGTCAGCACAGAGCCCGAAGTGGGGCTCCAACACATGAACTGTGAGACCATGACCTGAGCCGAAGTCAGATGCTTAACCGACTGAGCCACCCAGGTGCCCCATGATGGAATGTTTTCACCATAATAAGGAATAAAATACTATTTGACATAAAAGGAATAAGCGAATAAAATACATGCTGCAACATGGATGAAACTTGAAATCATTACACTAAGTGAAAGAAGCCAGACAGTCAAATATGGTATGCATTAATCTATATGAAATGTCCAGAAGAGGCAAACCCATAGAAAGTAGATTAGCAGTTGCTAGGGGCTGGGGTGGGGGGTGCAGGAATGGGAGGGAGAAATGGCGGGGGGGAGAGTGATCCCTAATGGGTACAAGGTTTCTTTTTGATGTGATGAAAGTGTTGTGGAATT